CTGCTGACTTTGATAAACCAGCTCTTTTTGCAAAATCAGCCTGAGAGCATCCCATCTTTAACCTAATATCTTTTGCCTTTTGAGTTATTTGATAGCATAAAGAATCAGGATCTATTTTCCTTGTGGTAGTAGTCATTTTTTCACAGATATTGAAGATTTATATAGTGTTATTGAATTGTATTAAAGCTTTATTACTCACACATGGTAAGGAATCTTTAGTAGTTAAATACTTTTATATTTTTATTTAAATATTATCTTATTAACAAAATACACTAGCAACACAAATATTTTACCCACAAAATATACCGGTAGCGAGTGCGTGAGTTAATAATTAATTTACGGTTGACGCTGTATACTAAAACAGTGGTTGAGGTAAGTTATGACTGAAAATACATTAAAATTACAGGAAGAGATAAAGCGTCACAACGAGTTGTACTATCGGGAAAATATATCAGAAATAACCGATGCAGAATACGATGAACTGGTAAAAAAAGTAGATATTCAAACCGTTGGTACTGCGCCTGATAGAAGATTTTTAGAGGTGGGTACCAATGCTCTCGTTGGACAAGGCTCATGGACGAGATGAAGTTGAAGAGTTTCTTGCTAGGGTTAAAAAACTTCTGAATGTACATGAGTTGGAAATCATATGTGAACCAAAGATCGATGGGGTGTCGTTTTCTGCGATTTATGAGGATGGTATGTTCATTAAAGGTTTAACTCGAGGTGATGGCCATTACGGTGAAGATGTAACAAAAAATGTTGCGACTATAGCAGGATTGCCTAAAGTATTACCTGACGTAAAGGTAAGTTGGAAATAAGAGGGGAAGTATACATAAGAAATGACGATTTTTTAAAATTAAATAAGGATAACAAATTTACAAATCCAAGAAACACAGCATCCGGTTTATTAAGACAATTGGACCCAGAAGTTACCGCTAGCAAACCACTGAAGTATTTTGCGTATTGTTTGATCGGCGGAACAGAAAATACCCAGTCTGAAGTATTAAATAAACTGAAAAAGCTTGGATTCTGTGTAAATGAACATCAATGCTTAGCAAAAAATGTGGATGAAATGCTGGAATTTTATAATATGATTTATGATAATCGCCATGAATTAGGTTATGATGTCGATGGGGTAGTCTATAAAATCAATAATTTACAGCTACAAGATCGTCTAGGTAACACAAATAAAGCTCCTAGATGGGCCATAGCACACAAATTTCCTGCAGCTCAAGGAAAAACTAAGATAGTTGAAATATTAATACAAGTAGGCAAAACGGGTCAATTGAATCCAGTTGCCAAATTAGCTCCGATAAATATAGGCGGGGTTATTGTTACAAGGGCAAATTTGTATGTATGACAAGCACCAAATTAGAGAGAAGCCGGATGATGGGAAACTATCAAGTCCGGTTTTGAAGTCGAGTGGGGAGAGGTGACTTTCTCCACTTAGATAACATGCTAGCTGCTTTTTGTTGCTAGAAATGGTTGTATCAATTAAGTTTTTATTGAAAATTACTAGTAAATTAATAGTGATTTCGCAAAAAAGTTAAGGCAATTTTTATGATTAATTTTTTATAAAAAAATGTTGCTTTATAGAAATATTCAAGTGATTATATATACAGTGGTATTTCACTAGCTTAAGCGATATGACAGTTTAGAAGGAGTTACAATGCAATTTAATTCAGGGGGTATTGGTAAAGATTCTTTAACATATCAAAATGTTAAAAATCTTTCACTCAAAGAAAATAGTATACGTAATCTAAAAAAAACAGGATACCTGCATTTAATCAGTTCTTAAATTTTTTAATTACAGGAGAAGGGATAAAGTGTCTAGAAGTTCTAAAGAGGGAAGGAATAGATCTAGCTAGTATGTCCAGTATTTTGCATGTAGCAGGAGCCAAAGCTGCAAAAGCTTTTAAAGACTTATATGATATTTGGTTCAATGAGCAAGGAAATAAAACACAATATTTAAAAACTCTAGAAAAAGAAGGAATAAATCTATCTAATATGTCCAGTATTTTAGGTGGAGCAGGATCTAATGCTTCTAGAGCTTTTAAAGACTTACATGACCTTTGGTTTGATGTGGAAGGAAGTAAAACACAATATTTAAAAACCCTAGAAAAAGAAGGAATAGATCTAGCTCGTATGTCCAGTATTTTGAGTGGAGCAGGAGCTAACGCTGCAAAAGCTTTTAAAGACTTATATGATATTTGGTTTGATGCAAAAGGAAATAAAACACAATATTTAAAAACTCTAGAAAAAGAAGGAATAAATCTATCTAATGTGTCCAGTATTTTAAATGTAGCAGGAGTTAACGCTGCAAAAGTTTTTAAAGACTTATATGACCTTTGGTTTGATGTGGAAGGAAATAAAACACAATATTTAAAAACCCTAGAAAAAGAAGGAATAGATCTAGCTCGTATGTCCAGTATTTTAAGTGGAGCAGGGGCTAACGCTGCAAAAGTCTTGAAAGACTTATATGATATTTGGTTTGATGGAGAAGGAAGTAAAACACAATACTTAAAAACTCTAGAAAAAGAAGGAATAGATCTAGCTCGTATGTCCAGTATTTTAAATGGAGCAGGAGTCAATGCTGCAAAAGCTTTTAAAGACTTATATGATATTTGGTTTGATGCAAAAGGAAATAAAAAACAGCATTTAAAACATTTTATTGAGGACAAAGATAGGAAAAAAAGTTTTACACTGCATAACTTATCTGGTATATTAAGTAGAGCAGGAGCTAATGCTAAAGATGCTTTTGAAAAGTTTCATAGTGTTTGTTTTAGTGACAAAGGAAAAAGAACAGAACTTTTAGATGATTTCTATAAGGCAGGTTTTACGCCAAGTAACTTATCCTCTACGTTATGTGGAGCAGGAACTCGTGCTTCTTTTATTTTAAAAAGATTTCATAGTACTTGTTTTAATGAGAAAAGAGAAAAAACAAAATTTTTAGATGATTTCTATAAGGCAGGTTTTAAACCGCGTGATTTATGTGGTGTGTTGAGTTCAGCAGCAAATAGTTTAAAAAAGTTTCATGATTTTTGTTTTACGGAAGAAACAAAAAAGTATTTGAATCATTTCTTAATTGAGAAAGAAGGTTTTATACCAAAAAATTTATCTAAGATATTGCATGGAGCAGGAGCTAATATTTGTTCTGCTTTAAAAGATTTTCATGATGTTTGTTTTGATGAAACAGGAAACAAAACACAGCTTTTAGATGATTTTTATGAGGCAGGTTTTAGGCCAGGTGATTTATCTAATATATTATCCATGGCAGGAAATAATGCCGCTTCTATTTTAAGAAATTTTCATAAATCTTGTTTTAATAAAGAAAATTATTTAGATCGCTTCTTAGCCGGGAAAAAACTTTTTACGCCGAAAGATTTATCTAAAATATTATATGGAGTAGGAATTAATATTTGTCCTACTTTTAAAAAATTGCATGATCTTTGTTTTGATAAAGTAGGAAACACAACAAAATATTTAAACAATCTTATCAAAAATAACCCGCCAAATAAGATGCTTGATATATTATATGAAGAAGTTAGAAAATCTCCTTCTGCTTTCTTGGATGAACAGAATGTTAGTGAAGGAGACAGAACAACTAGTGTAGGCCTCAAGCCGAGTAGTTTACCCGGTAAAACAAAGCAAAAACAAGATTTAGATGGTTTACAACAAGGTGATTCTAAAGCTAAGAGAAAACCCAGGAAGGGTATCACTAACCGAAGTAAGAACGGACAAGATGATAAAGTTTTAGACACAGTAGCAGGTAGCTCAAGAGATTTATCCCCGAGACGAGGAACAAGGGAAAAACAAATACAGTCAGTGTACCATAATAAGAAGGAACAGTTGCGCTTATCAAAATTTGTATCATTTATTGAGCCAGTAGAACAAGGGCTTTATTTACCTTCATTTGAAGAGCGTGGAGTTAAGACTGATGGTAAATGTGTAACAATTACACGTGGCTTATCTCAAGCTTTATTTTTACAGAGTGACAAATCGTTTTTAAGTAATTTAGAAACTTCAGTTGAAATTTATGAGCGCATAGCTCAAGGTAAGCAGATATCTGAAGGGGAGGAAAGAGAAGTTTTTGCTTTAAGTAAATTACTTGATAATTTCGAACGACAACTAGATTCTGTTACGAATAGTTTACCTTCAAGCTCAATTCATACTAAGGGCTACAAAACATTTGGTGATTTATCAAATTACATAGCTGAAGTTAAGGGTGATTTTGCTATTCATTTAGTAACAAGTAATCACGTAGTTGCCATTTATAGAACTGGTGATAACTATGCTTATTTTGATAGTAATGCAGCGTTTATTTCTGAGTTAAAAAGTGTTGATCAGCTTATGAAGATTGTAGAAAAAGCAGTGAAGTTTGCTGGTTATAAAATAAAAGAAAAAGGTTTTCTTGTTGAACACTTTGATGTTGGTAAAGCTAATAACCTACTATCTAGTGAAGATAAACAAATTTTAGCAAAAGAAATTAAAACAGAGCATCAACTTCTAGCAGAGCAAGATAAGGAACTTGGTCTTATTAAGATTAATGGTCAGGAATTATCTAGAGTGCAGTTATATGACTTTGGAACAAAGATTAATGTGGAAGGTAGTGTACCGTTGCTTATCAATGCTGATATGAATTTAAGTAGCGAAAAACTTCAAGACCATCTAAATAAAAAAGAAGTAATTATGACAGCTAGAGAATATCTTGATAGCTTGAGAAATAGCAAGAACATAGAAGAAGTAGTACAAGCAACCAAAGTAATTCCTTTTATAGGTTCAAAACGTGAAATTGAAGAGGCAGAGCAAACACGTAAGCCGAAACGATCTTTATTAGAACAACTAGTTAAAGGAGCAGTTAATTTTATGGCTAGTAATCTTACTACTGCTTTTTTTACTAATGTTAGTCGATTAGAAAGCCAACTGCCAGTAAAAACAGACAATGAACCTCAAGCTTATTTAAATGATCCAACTGTGGAAAAGCAACTACAAAGATCATATCAGACAATTTCTTCCTGAAGTTGTTTAATGTCATTCACAGAAAGGCCGGTGATTTCAGCGATAACATCAATAGATACACCGGCCTTTAGTGAGTTTTTTGCAACTTCAATTTTACCTTCAATTTTACCTTTTTCTTGACCGATTAGGATGCCTTCTTGTCTACCTTCTTGTTTAGCATCATCGAGTTTTTGAGTGAGTACAGCCTGTTCATCACGAATACGCTTGATCTCTTGTTCATAGGCAATAAATTCTTTTTCAGACCAGTTGAACCTATTTAGTTCTTCATAAGCTCTTTTAATTATTAGATCACTTCCTATTATTCTTTCTAGCTCTTCTTCACTAGTTTCGTCTGCATATCTAAAGAAGTAGATCCATTTTTCAACTATACTTGAAAGCTGATCTTCTTTGGTTTTTGGAAACTTTGGCAATTCAATAAATATAAAGTAAAAATCTTTTAGATCGTGCTCATTAGTATCCTCATCGCGAATAGTATGCTTTGATTTATACTCAGACTTATCAGGAAATAAAATACAATCTGCTATAGCAATAAAGATAATTTCCTTAAGGTCATGATATTGATCACCTTTATCAGCCTGTCTTGAGTAAGCTTTAGCAGCATAGTATTGTGCACGTTTTTCAAAGCCCTTAGTTTTAGCGACCTGCATTTCGACTATCACTTGCAGCCCATTTTCATCTCTACAAAGAACATCAACAATGCTTTGTTTTTTAGAAGCAATATCAGGGTCTTGAATAGTACTTAAAAACTCTATATCCTGTATTGCATTTTTTCCAACAAAGCCGAGAATATCATTAAGAAAGTGAATAAGGATATCTTTATTTTTTTCAGTACCAAAGATGCGCTTGAACGATATGTCATTCTTGGGATCGAGAAACTTAGAAAGAGCCATGAGAAAGTAAGATAAAAAGCATTAACAATTGTACACAATTGTGAAGAAATGTTCAACTAAAATTAAAACATAGAGCCACAGGAGGACGTGCCATAAAATTTCGTGCTGGGTTTTTTACAATTATTTCTGTTTTGAAATTAGTGAAGACACCTAAACCTGATTTTAATTGACATTAAGCTGAGAGTTGAAAATAGGCAATAATTCTTTTAGACACAAAAACCCCAACTGATTTGAGGTTAATTATTGAAAATAACCGCTTTTTAAATTAAGTTTGATCAGAAGTGGTGTATACATCATGTGGCTAAGCTATTGAATTTTACTGAACTAATAGGTGGTTTTGAGAACTCAATTTTAGGTGCCCACTAATTTTTCTATCACAAATACTAAAATTATAAGCTATTGGTATTCGTTCTCTTTTTTTTATCTCTAATCCATAACTCGGGTCAGAGGCGTTATCAATAGGTGAAATTCAACAAATTTAAAATAAAAAAATCGTTATATATTAATATCTTTACCTATTCATGAAAAAATAAGTAAAAAAGATTGAAAAATTGATTTGACTTCACCCGAAAGCTATGGCTTTATGCCAAGACTGCTAAAAAACGGCAGTAAATATATAAAAACATTTTGTTATTAGTGAAGGGTAATTTTTATGAATAATAAGGAAAACAGTAAAGATCGTAGAGAAGAAATAGAATTCAGAATATTAGAAAGCAAAGGCAAAGCTCTACTTGATCGTGAAGTAATAGAAACGTTTCTAAGTGCAGTGCATGATAGAGAAGAAGCTTGCAGTATTGCTAGAAAGCTAATTGATAGTTTTGGAATAGGAGGAGTTTTAGGCCAGGAAATAGATGACTTGAAAGCTATAGAAGGGATAACCGACTCTACAGTAGCAGTAATTTTATGCCTAAAGGAAGCTTCAAAGAGAGTACCAAGAGAAGAGTTAAAGAAAGGACCTGTAATGGATAACTTGGAAACCATCGTAAAATATTTAAGGGTGAGTATTGGTTACTCAGAGGAGGAAAAGATGAAAATAATATATTTTGATCAAAAGTGCCGTTTAAAGGGGGAAGAAGTGTTCACTGGTACAGTGGATAAGGTACCTTTTTACATAAGAGAAGTAACAAGAAAGGCATTAATAAAAAAAGCGACGTCAATAATAATATCGCATAACCACCCAGAAGGAAGGTTAAAGCCATCTGATGAGGATCAAACTGTAACTAAAGGCTTGGCTGAAGCTTGTCAGACTATAGGGATTAGGTTACTGGATCACATTATCATCACAAGTGTTGGGTATTTTAGTTTTAAAGAGCAAGGACTGTTATAAAGCACATGTTTGAAGTAGATGAAGAGTCTTACTTTTCATGAGTTGTTTAACTACTTTAATGAGGAAAATATTTGCAAGTACATTAATGCTTGCTTATAATTAATGAGAAAGTATATATTAAATTAATAATAAAATAATAAAGTCGGTTGTAGACTTAGTAAGGTATATTTAATAGCGGAGGCTAATATGAGTAATAAAATAATTGTACCTTTTGATGATAAAGAGGGAGGTACTTACGAGTTAAACATTGATCTTGATAGATTATCAAAGGATGGAATGTTAAGTGCTATTAGAGGTATGGGTCATATCGTCAAGAAAAAGCAGCATTCTGTCTTTGTAGAAAATGATCCTGGTAGATTACCGGAGGAAATATTTGGTGATGTTTAAGGTATGAACTGTCGCCATCTTTTTAGTAGCATGCCTTCTCCTCAAGATGTTCGTGACAAGACAAGCAACTGGGAAGAAGGACTTAATGATCTTTATAACACAAAATCTTTACATTGTGCAAGAAGTTCAAATCCATTTATTCCATCTTTGAATAAGATAGAGCCAAGTGCAATTGAAAATGCAAAATTGAGCTGGTTCAAAGATGCAGTAAAAAAGGCAAAAAGCGTAGGTGAATTGAAGAAAATTGTAGAACAAGGACTAAATGTTGGAATAAGGACAAATGCATGTCATGAAGGACAGCAGAGTTTTGCTGATGTTGTAATATTGAAGATGCTTTCGATTCCATGTACAAAAGATGATAAGAGAGATATTATACGTAAATTATTGCTGAAAGGAGCATTTTTTAGTTACGATCTATTGCAGGATAAGCAGATCAGTGAAGTTTATAATAAACTGTATCGAGAGGTGCAGCCACAGATAGATAAGATGCTTAAAAAACTTGAAGAAATCGGTAAAGATGCTGTTCAAGAAGGAAGCGTAGAAGACGTAGGGATAGATAATCAAACATTTTTTATAAAATTTTCTGAAGGTAGTACAGTAGAACCTGCAAAATTACTAGAAGCTACAAGAAATTTAGGCCTAAACAAAGGGTGGGGAGGTCACATCATAAAGATAGGCAATAATGAGATTGAAGTAAAGATGGAAGAAGGAGGTGAGAGAAATTACACGGGTCTATCAGACGGTGGCGACCTTACAATGACGCTTCATTCAGACCTTGGTGAGGAAAAATCAGATTATGCCACAATACAGAAAATTATGATCGAATACAAGTAATAGTAGAAGATAAAGAAACGTGGGAAAAATTACAAGAAGAAGGAGGGACAATAAGGGAAAGTTGCCTATTAGGGGGAAAAACAATAAAAGAGACAATAAGAGAAGGAGGTTTCAAGAGAAGTGGCATGTTGAGTGAAGAGCAGGCTACAGAAGAAATAAAGGAGGTTAGGGAAAATGAAACTTTATCGTGGGTAAATAGGGTACATGAAGGGAGTAAAGCAACTTCTATGAACCGTTAAACTTAAACAATTGGGGAAGGTCTTTCTTCCTTCTCCACTCATCACACACTTGAAAAATCTTTTGAAGGTAGAGTAAAAAATCCCATAATAGGGTATATTTTTATAAAAAAGAGTGACTACTAGCAACTCTATAAGCTACAGAGTTAGGCAAGAGGTAAGAAATCGTAGATTAAGGTTGGGGTACACTCAAAAAGATTTAGCAAAAAAAATCGGAATAAAGTACTGGCTGATACTTCAATACGAAAAAGGGAACCGTAAAATTCCAATTAAGAAGTTATATGCCATAGCAGAAGCATTATCAGTGAATGTTAAAGGTCTAGTTTGTGGAGAGACACTACCAAATGAAAAAAGATATTTTGAAGATGAAGAAATATTAAATTTAGTAAGGGGATATAAGGATAAAGAATTACGCGAGGTATTTTATTCATTAACCAAATTTATTCGTTTGAGCGAGGAAAGAAGCAGAAAAGCGGTAAAAATAGAAGTAGCAAGGGGTTTGATTAAAGTAGGAGTTTCTGTTGATGTTATTTCTAGAACTACTAACTTATCTATTGATGAGTATGAGGAGAACAAAACTCCCATTCCATACAAAGTAGGGCAAAGGATAAAAGAGTGGAGATTAATACGAGGATATACTCAAAAAGATTTAGCGAATAAAGTTGGCATAACAAATCAAGGAATATACGAGTATGAACAAGGGCGAGCTGCTGTTTCACTTGAAATGTTAGATGAAATAGCAAAGGTATTATCAACCAGTATCATAGATCTTATCTCTTTGTTTTCAATTTTTTGATATTCTCTCATTATATTTAATATTTTGTTTTCTCCTTGACCATCTTCACAATAACTTTCTGCTTTTGATGTAGGTAGTAGAAGTACAAAACTTATTGATAATCCTTTCGCCAATTCAGGCGTATTTTTGAACGATGGTATTATCCCTTTTTCATATGTGTATATTTGCTTATGGGATAATCCTGCTTTATCTGCCAATTCCATCTGTGTAGAACCTCTAGCCAACCGCCAATCTTTTGCCTTTTGCGCCATTTGGAATCTTACAGGTCTTACCTCTGTTGTAACCTTGTTAATTTCAATTCCTTCTGACAAAGATCTGGTTAGTGTACAAACTGCCTCACGAACTTTCGAGTCCTTAATTCTTTTTATGGTTTGCACTAAATTAAATGCCTTCTTATCTTCACGATTAATATAAAATCCTTCTGGTAGCTCAGGAAAGAAAACTTCAATATCATAATATAATTTTTTTGCCATCCTCTCGAGAGTTGTGGGTTCAATGCTGTATATTCCTAGCTCATAATTTGTAACTGCTGACTTTGCTAAACCAACTCTTTTTGCGAAATCAGCCTGAGAGCATCCCATCTTTAACCTAACATCCTTTGCCTTTTGAGTTATTTGATAGCATAAAGAATCAGGAGCTATTTTCTTTGTGGTAGTAGTCATTTTTTCACAGATATTGAAGATTTATATAGTGTTATTAAATTATATTAAAGATGCGAAAATACTCATATTGTTAATGAAAAATTCAAACAATTTGTAACTGTTTTACAACAAAATAATATCGCTAATGTATGCCACGCTGCAAAAGCGATACATGAAAGTGATATGTTTAACGGCGAATCACTCATAGATTGCGAGTTATTGTGCTGTAAATGATATTCTTCACGATGCTTGTAATAAATAAGTTATTTTACTATTTTTCTCTGAATTTAATTATTTATTCCATCCTTTATGTATACGCTATCCTTCTCCTACACATTGCGGACGCCTCGCGCTATTTCCCTCATACCCATCGTCTTACGAACGCTATCTCTCTCTCTCTTCCAAGTGCATGCTTCGCCCTATCCTTCTCGCACCGCCTTACGAACGTCGTATCATCCACGTGCATGCTTCGAGCTATCTCTCTCTCTCCCAAGTGCATGCGAACGTCATCCTTTTCCTACACGCGAACGCCTCGCGCCATCTCTCTCCAACGTGCATGCGGACGCTATCCTTGTCTTACGCTCATATGGACGCCTCGCGCTATCCTTCTCCCACGCCCCTAGAATATTATTAGCGCTATCTTTCTCTTACACATTGCGGACGCCTCGCGCTATCCTTCTCCCACGCCTCCTCGCGGCATCGTACCTTCGCGTTCCCTCTTTCCCGCGGGTCCCTCGCCAATCGGTTTCGCCGCGGGTCCCCCTCCCCCTCTCCGCGGG